CTTCTGAGGCATTGCCAGAGCAAAGCCTCAGAAGCGCGGGACCCGCCGCTGCTGCGGGTTTGCTCGCGGTGACCCTGGTCTGCTGGAGACGGTCTCTAGCAGACCAGGGGCACCAGGAGCAGCTTTTCTCGCCCCGGAGCTCGAGGTGGCTGACCGCTGCCTGTGAGCTCCGGGGCGAGAAAGCCCCGTTCGTAAGTGCGGATCCGACATAAGTCGGATCCGCGTAAGTCGGGGACTGCCTGTATATAAAAGGAAGTTGGTGAATTCATATTCCAGCAGCAGCGGGGGGTCCTGCGCTTCTGAGGCTTTGCGGGTTTGCTCGCGGTGCCCCTGGTCTGCTGGGGACCGTCTCCAGCAAACCAGGGGCACCGGGAGCAAAGCGGTCCAGCGCCAGAGCAAAGCCTCAGAGGCGAGGCACCCCTACCTCGAGTCCCATCTTCACTCCTTCCCCCTCACCTACTCCGAGTCCCCCCATCCCCTGCCTCCAGCCCCCCCACACTTGAACACCTGCCCTGACTCCCCTACACCCAACCCTTTGCCCTGAGCCCCCACATTCTGCCCTCACTCCAGAACCCGGCAACCTAAGCTCCCCAACCAGTCCCCTGCCCTGACTCCTGCACCCCATCCACTATCCTGAGGCACCCCACCCCATATCCTGATCTAGGGATACGAAGGTTTAACCAATACTCCTTGTGGGTTAAGATGAACAGATGAGGCTGAAGCAGCTCTCCATCTGCTGCAGGCAGGGGCTGCTCCAGCCTCACAGGGGGCCTGCTATGGACAGGCAGGGGCTGCTGTGACTGGGATGCTCAGAGCAGTCCCTGTCTCTGAGGTGCCCTGACCCGGTCACAAGGAAGAGCTGCTCCATTGTCCCAGTCAGAGCACCCTTTGTCCGCAGCCCCGCAGGGTACCCTGCAGGCAGGGACCAGCCAGGCTGCAGCAGAGGGAAGGAGGGAGGGGTGTCCCCTCTCTCTCCCCCAGCAGTGGGAAGGGGGAGCACACCCATCCTCCCCCTTTTAATCGATTAAACAATATGTTTAGCTGGTTAGCCAATTAAAGAGGATTTTACATCCCTACCCTGAGCCTCTGCCCTAAGCCCGCCACACATCTCACAGCTCCCTGCCCTAACTCCTGAACCAAGCACCCCACACACTCAACCTCCTGCCCTGAGCCCTGTCATTTAAGTAAAGCATGTACTTTTTTTTAATTTAAAAAATTACTAAAGACCAAGCAATGCCAGGTACATCTGCTAGTACTACATAGCCTAAGTAGGTCTTTGTTACAAAATAATAAACCCTGAAACTATCAATGTGATTACAGTCTATGCTCTTTGAATGTCTGCTGACATTTATTCTCACTACATGCCACTTACTGGACATATAATAAATTGCCATGTACAGAATAGCTGACTAATTTCACTGACTGAAACCAAAAGAAAATACAAAGGCAACAGACATCCTTTTTCACATACATAAGCGTGGCTCTTATGCTATAGAGGGCTACCTGGTATTTAAAATCTGATGCAATAAAATATTTGCACAATTGATATTATGTTATGTCCACAAAAATTATGAAAACTTTTAACAAATTCTAGCTCTTCCTGGAGAGTAATAACATGTCTGCACAACCTTCAACTTTATTATCTGGAACAGATATTTTAAACTACATTAGACTACAATATGTTGCCAACATTTAAACATGTAAAACTTCACCCTTAAGTAAACTTTTGCTAAGTATCATTAAATAGCTAGCCTCAGTTCTCTCTATAAAATACTGGCTAAGAATAATTTTATTTCAACTACAGCTTTACCACAGCAGAAAAGACATGTAAGAGGGCAGACATTTATATACTAGGCACTATTTGTTGCATTGTTTAATAGCTAAGGACTCCAGATTACTTTCTAAATAGGGTGAGGATTGGTGCTCCTCCACTAAACAACACACAAAAAGGAAAGAATACTGCCTAATTTAGAAAAGATCAATCATCAACCTAAATAAACAGAGTGATAAGCAACTGCTACTTTAAAATTCCACAGCTTCAACGATTGGGATTACGAACTGCAGACTAATACGGAAGGGACTAATAGCTAAGCAGAAAAAGCAGGAACTGAGTGACAAAAAGAGCGTGTCTGTGTCTCTCTCAGTCTCTGCCTCTGGTGCATGCACCTCCCAGCAGCTCTCTCCCTATTTAAAGGCTGATGTGGTGTTTAAATGGAGAGGCGGTGACGTGGGGCTGGAAAGCACCTTCCCATCCTGGCAGAGTCTATATTAGAGAGCGGCAATGGCTCTATATAAACAGGGCAGTCACAGGGAGGAGGAACACAAGGAGCAGGGAGACAGAAAGGCAGGGGAAGCCATGATGGATCTCACAGCGAAACACAAACAAGGGGGCCAAGCCTGCACCGTAACCGCCCGGACTGGGGTTTGTCGGCAGCTTTTCGGGGGTAGGCTTGTGGATGGGTTTATTCTTGTCAGAGGGAAGGGAAAGAAGCGATCGGTGGGGCTTGGCGGCTACAAAGATTTATGTGACTGCTTATTGCACATCTATGTGAATACAAGTAAAACAAGCCACCGCCGAGAGTGCAGAAAGCACAAGGGGGAGGAAGGGGTGAGTTGTTCGGGTTTTTTTTTAATTACTTCCTTGCCACGGGGAAGAGACTGGAGGGGGGTTTCTCCTCCGTCAGCCGAGTCTGCAGGGCTGGGACAAGTGCTTTTCAACCATTGCCTCCTTCTTATAAAGCTACATAAAATGGCTCCAGCAGCGCCAGGCTGAGTTCGCCTCCACATACGCCACCCGCCCGCCCCCTCCCCCGGCACAGGAGGCAGCGCCTGGCTTCCCCGGTAGCCTCTCCCCCCAGGGGAAGCCGCTCGCCCCCTCCCCAGCCGCCCCC